GTTGGGGACTACATTGGTAAATGTTGCTCTCCCTAGTTGTGTTTTTCTTTCATATTTCACACATAGAATGATTTTTACTGTCATATTAAATACAATACTATAAAGCTTATAAAATATAGCCGAATCTAAAAGGTGACTTTGTCGTATTTTTGCTTTGCGCCCTGTGTAGAGAAAGTGCCACTAAATCGTCACTTTTTCGTAAATTCGCGTTTTCGCCTGGCGACTCGCCGAGAACCATAAATAATACATTTATGTTGGTGGCGTAAAACTGCAGACGACTTAAACATTGGTTTTAATGCAATTTTTCAATATCTGTTTTTCTATTCTATTATCATAAGCATGACACCGTTTGTGTTTTCATTAGATTGCTTCTTCATTAAGAAAATTGTAAGGAATCGAGAAAAGCAATCAGCTATGTAGACAATCAACTATTTCATATTCATCAAGAAGCAATAAAGTAAATGTGAAGTCGGGCAAAGAATTTATGTATTACCAGATGTTGTAAAGATAATTAATGAGATATCGTGATGGATACGTTCCCATTGCTAAAAAGGACTGGAAACCTTTCCATTAAAGACCCATTATGACTTAGAAATTCTATAATATTTATTTCTTAAAAACTTTCTATCTTTTTTTTATTTATCTTGTCTCAGTTTCCAAACAAATACTCATTTGTCATATACTTAAACTATATTTTGCTTATTTTGCTCTGTTTGCAAATGGTACATTTAGTGAATTAATAGTTTGCATGGAAGTTTACATTTTGTTATCTTTACGACACGTCACTTCATGTTTAGCGTTACTTTCGTCAGCTGTTGAGCATTAAACATGCTCTTAATACATTTCCAAAACATTATCAAACACATGTTTGGTATTAATAACATACAAAAAAATTAACTTCTGATGCATAATGTGCCTTTAAAATAATATTAAGTATTATAATTGTTAATACTTTCTGAAAATAAATGATACAATTATTATAGATGAAAACGATCAGATATCAATCTAAAGGTACATAAGTCCTCAGAAAGGAATTTTTTTTTATTTCTTTAGAAAAAAGCAGATTTATGGTTTAAAATGAGGTTTGTTTTATAACGGATTGGAAGCATATTAGATTTTTATCAATTACAGAAAGAAGCGCTGAAATGGTAATAATTGCTATAAAAGTTATAATATGTAGATAAAGTGGTATTTTGACTCCTATATACATTACCACCTCACTAGTACATACAAAGTTGCTACTAGTCACTAGTTGCCAAAGGCAACATATTAGGTATATGCCAAATGGGTAGCATTTAAGAAGCTGTAACAGGTCAACAAATATAAAAAACAAATGACAAATACAACAGCAATTAAGCGGCTTAAAATATAAAAATTGAAACCCTTTCAGTAGTACTGTTAAGCCAGTAAAATGTATTAAAACATTTTAAATTTTGTTAAATAATATTAGAGCATGAAAGACAATCCTTTTTGATATGCATATGGCCTTACGAGTTTTCTTTCTTGCTAAAAGATCTCAAACAGCCAAATGCAAAGTAAATACATCAGAGCACTGATGCTTAGTTTGTATATGAAGAATATTTTCAAAATCAAAATTAAAATTGCTTCCAATGTTAAACGCATGACAATATTTTGGGGCATTTATAATCGGTTGAGTTTTTTTTTATTATGTTCATGTATTTACGAACAATCAATATGGTGACATTACAGTTATATCTTAACTGATCGATACCTTCCTCATTTTCTCTTTACATGACATAAAAACAATATTGTATGTTGTTTATGTGTTTGTTTGTCGCTAAACGCTCGTGATAAAAATATTAGTTACGACAATAAATTGTCGTTTGTTATGACTCAAGCTGTCGTTAAGTTAGTCTAATAATCGCAGCTTAATCATTGTACTGAATCAATTGAAAATAATTCAGTGATGTGGCGTATGCTCAAACTAATTTTTGTAATGGTATTGACTTTCTTTAAAGTTATATATTAATCATACTAATCTCTTTTAAGCTCCCAAAGCATTTTAAATTTATGGTTCTGGTTTATATTAATATAATATGTCACATATAAAGCATTAAATGTCAAACTAGTTATAGACTTTCCAGTGTGCCAAAACAAAGTATGCTTTCTATTCTGCATATGTCTTAGTAAAATTGACAAATTGTTGACCTCAGGATCGTTATGTTGAGTCAGGGGTTAATCAATATAAAATATCTGTTTTAAATATGCACCTTTTTGCTGTTAATGATGGCTTTTTTTTAAACATAGCAATTATTTCCGCAACAACTTTAAGTAAGCTTTTAAATTAATAAAACCATTTTTGCTGAATAAGCATAATATTTAAAATTGTCTATTCTATTGATGAAATTAATTAATGTCCGCTCAAGGAAAAAATGTATATAATGGTAAAAACAACCACCACCAAACATCGATATGTTCCAATTTGTTTCGATATTTTTGAAAATTTTTTGTACCGAAATATGTTATGTTATCCATAATACCAAAAGAAAACATTTTACTGTTTTCTGGTTCCGTTCCCATGCTCTTCATTCCAACAACTCAACTGCAGAACCAAAGGCATTATTTTTTTCATCTAGTATTTGTTTACTCTTTAATCAATGATGAAAATCTGTTTAAAACTAGAAAATTAAAAAATAACAGTAACTAGCATATGAAACTTTTGGATGAAAGATGGACTTGTAGTTCTTGAATTGATAAAATGTAAACTATGAATTCTTCGATCATTACAAATTCGTTCAATTCAGCGAGGTCTTATGTAACATTTAATTGATGAGAATTTCAACTGATTTGTTACACTATCTTAGAGATGTTCATTTAAAACAAATGATTTGCAATAAAATATAACTTTTAAACTTAATAAATAATATTTCCCATAAAAATAATTATAGTGATAAATAGAAAAATATTGTATTACATGTGTGAATACAAATAATTTAAGGTTACATTGATTTAATTGTATCTGTTTTGGTATTAGTATAATTCATATTAAGGCCCAGTACGCCCTAGAAAAACTATCGATTTTATTTATGACAACCTTTTTTATTTTAGGTTTCTTGTTACAGTTTCCAAAATTATACTCATTTTCATATACATAAAGTATATTTTGCTGTTTTTTCTGTTAGCATTTGATATAATTATAGTGAATAAGTATTTTGTTTACATTTTGAACTACATTCCTCCCCTCCCTCTCCCTGTTTTCTTTACATTGAAATTATTGAGCTATTGATATATCATGTTAATATTCGTTCATAGACATATATATCAAATTTTATAATCACTTAGCATGACAGAAAACATTCTACCACGACTCTTACAGTTATTTTATTTCGTTTTATGATTGCAACAAAAGCTGTAAATTGTATTGAGCTAGTTGTCTCGATTTCAGTTTGTTTTAACAAATATGTCGGTCATTGTAAATAAGAGATGATAATAGTAGTCTCTCATAATATTTGACAATATTAATGGACAAATATGCATTGTTTAGGAAAAGGATATCAATTTTGAGTGCATCTTTGTAGAATAATGACGGTTCGAGTTCAAATTCATAGGAATATAATCACGAAAGCCGACAGTTTAACGATATATTTTCCATATTTGCAATGCCAATGCTTCTTTTATATCTATCAATCTTAAACCAATGTGAACGACTTATTCATCAACAACAAAAAATCGTAGATACTATAAACCATACGGATAATTTACTGCTTTATTCATCGAATAAGAGTTTATCGGCGTACGATTTTACACAATATGATTTGTCAAGCAAGGTGTCTTTTGTATGAACCGTTATTACATTAATGTAATTTTGATAGCTTTTAGGTGCGTGATTATATCATATCTTGTGAATGTCAGTCGTAGACAGGTATTAGGTGGAAACTCGAAACTAATGATTGTAAAAGCGACAAAAATATTACATAAACATCATTGCAAAACGTCTTCTGAAGACAAATACAATTAAAACACAATCAGTGTTATATATGCTGACAGAAACATTCTTCCTTAAATTTATATATTGTATTTCATATTATTCTTCAAATTTTTCATTTTTGGTCTATGCGGTTTAAAAAAAAACTGAAGAAATATTTTATTTTCTAAACGCCCATGCGCAAAACAAGATTATTTCCTGTATATGTATATTTAAATGTTTTAACCACTTAACGTTATCCGCGCACGCCGTAAAAGTATAGGACATTTAATTTTATTTAGAAGGTTTAAGGTAATAAAAGTGGCATAGCAAATTGACATAAGTTTGAATTCAGGGACGATATATTCAAACTCTTTTTTAAAGTTTTATTGAACTAAGAACATGTTATTGCGGAAGGATGTTGATTAATATACTATACTCAGGTACCAGTTCTAGACTGGAATTATGTAAGGGAGGAAGAGGGGAGGAGATCCTATTGAGTTCTCCCTTCACATGCATAGCTGGCTATTTACATTATAAAGAAAATTAAAACAATAGAGAAACGATCAAATAATTATAATTAACAGAAGCATTAAAAGAAGTATTTACATTTAAAAAAATACAAATGTACGCATATTGCCTTTTTATGTTGCTTTGAATCAATAAACCATTATTCAGTTGAATGTGTTCACGTATTTTATGCATGTGAAGTCTGCATTATAACACCCATCCCATTTAAGGTGATGTAATATGGACTGTAAAAAAATAATTTGGTTTTTCACTGTCACATTGCATAATTCTTTTGTTAAATGTGAACTGTAGAACCTCAGTTGCATTACAACCCTTATAAACGTAACGTCACAGATAGCATGATGTGACGAATTGACAATTAATATTAATTTCACAAAGCTTAACATTTTTATGTTTCGTTCAGTTAATTTCTAATCTTCACCATACAAAATATTGATCGCTAATCACCCCACTGTGGTTATTTACAGGCATTTATTATCACAGCAATAATCACAATACTCAAGAAGGAGATCGAAATGGTTTTAAAAAAAGAACGTCTCAGCCACACATGTATCAAATAATAGAATGTTTATCCCTTCCAGAGATATGTTATAACTTATTGAACGAAACAAGTACAAATTGATTTCGTTTCATCTACCACGCTTAATATCTCAAATTGTGAAATAAAAATATTTTACAATTTGAAATGCTGTCCGTATCTATTTTTTGTACCCCGTTAGCGATATTTACTAAAAATGGCACGGCACCCTTTTTATACATCTAAAGATCACTCGTTCATCTTGTACACTCATATCTAGACGGAGAGGAACTAGAGAATGCTTATTGTGCATGTAAAATGAGGTATGCCGTGTGATTATGATGTTTACTACGAAATACTTGTACCGACATTTATAAAGAAGTTGTAAATGAAAAAACAAAGCTGAACAAATCAATTTCACAAGTTATGCAGGTTAAATGTTACAAGTCTACAAGAAGGTAGACTATTATACATTTATCAGCAAGAAAAGCATTATTAAATCGTCAAATTTCAAATGCGTTTAAAGAAATATGCTATGCAAATAAAATTGGAAATGCTAGTAAAGAATAGAAACGGTTAACTAAGAATAAACAAAATTGGACATACTTTTTTTAAAAAATACATGTACCTGAAAATTTCATATGCAGAATGCAATTAAATTCAAAATCGTAATTAAATGGAAAGAAAAGCACCGCTAGGCGGAGCATTTTATGCCAGAAAATGTCTTTTTAGTAGTGATGAAGCAATTGTAAGACATGTGAATTTAATAAAGTATCAATAGGGGTCTTCTACCCAATATTGACAATCATCCTATGAAGTTTGAACACTATAGGCCAAATAGAACTTAAGTTATGCTCCGGAAACTGTTTTCAGTTCAAAGGTAATAGTTACCTTGACCTTTGACCTTGTGGACCCAAAATCAATAGGGGTAATCTACCCAATATGGACTTAAGTTATGCTCCGGAAACCAAATTGCTAACGAACGGACGGACGGACAGACAGACGCCAGGGGATATAACATAATATGCCCGAAATTCTTTCGGGCATATAAAAAAGATAAGCCGGCAAAATGTATATTTATAAGAATAAAGCTACTGTGTCAACAAATACACAAACTCGTTGTAACAAAGTTGTATCAATAATGTTTTCAAATCATCCGAAACATCAGTTTCGAGATCTTCAACGACTCCATCCCTCTAAATGGTTTGTATACCATTCCAGCTTCTCCTATTGTAGGTCTCACAGTCCCAGGTGTAACGTACTCTCCATTTAAGTTGACTTGTGCACAGCTTTTGAACCACCAACCACCTAGATTTTTAGCTGCACAATTGACAGTATCGTGGTCGTCGCGGTCAGCGTCAAATGTTGAAAAGGGGTATCCATTATGATAAGGCATACCACGTCCAGTATTAATATCTATATAGATGGAGAGAAATTACACTTTTGAAGTAACAAACCTCACAATAATGTAGTTAAATGACCCTCACTACCACACCATAGCTTCAACAAAGATAAAAAATGTAAAATTTAATTTGCGATATTATTTTTTTGGCTTATCGGCTAAATTAATTCAATTTTTAAATGTTCGTGGATTGCGAGTTACACAGTTAAAACATTTTGTTATGGACATTTTCAATATACATTTGCTACTCATCGTGACTTTACGTACAGACATAAATTGTTAACCAAAGTGTGCGGTACGCGGCCATCACATTATCAAATGATTTGTTAGCATAATACCTGCAGTTCCAGTTGCTTCGTCAATATGAAGTGTAAACGCAGGACCTTTGTCTAGATGAAAATAATTGTGAAGAGCAAACACAGCAGTGTTGTCATCTGCGGTAAGGTCAACTCTCATAACCGTCAATCCACGTGACGCCATTTCTTGAATCGTCTTTAGACCTGACGTTCATTGCAAGAAAATAAACAAATACATTAGTCTTCCTTCGTTAAATTCTCCACTTTCATTGCTTATGTTTGAATATTGTATATTGAAGTTAGTGTTGAACATCATGTTTTCAAATATAAATGTATATCATTTTCATAATTATATAGTTTTGTTTGATATGCATCTACTTTAGTTGTTTAGTTATTGAAAACAATTGAATGAGTTCTTTTTTACCATCCTTTTGACCGTCATGAATCGAATCGTATGCCTTTCCATGAGGCAATACTTGCTTATTGATGGCTTGAAATAGGTGAAATGATTATTTTTAAAATACTTTTTTCGAATTGTATCCGAATGAATTAAAAGTGTGCCTACCTAGCCAGAATTCACCATCCAAGCTTCCAAATCCATTAGTATAACTTTCAAAATTTCTTGTAAAGTTCACAGATCCGTTGAAACGGTACTGGAATACCTAATAGACAAAACAAAGATAACTTTCTTTCATTGTTTTAATTGCTTTAGCATTATACAGTACAATATGCCGAGGTGATAACCATGATTCAAAAATAGCTCGTGAAATATGGGCTTTCATCTTCCGACGTATAATTCAAACTCTTTCTGTTGACGCAAGACGAGATATATTTTGCATAAAAAGGTTGGACAATTGACCCACTAAATTACGGTAGAATTAATACAATATCTTAATAGTACTGTTGTAGAAAAAGAGAATGAAGTTTCAGATTCTTATTTGGTAGGCCTGTAATTAAGTCATCCGGCATATTAATTAATATCAGAAAGGGTATCTGGGTATCAAAACTCAATATTTAATCAATATTGTATGGTATAAATCGTCAAGAATCTATAACCCTGGCTATACCAGAAAACATAGTTTTAAAAATCAAGCATTTACTCTTAGACTACCCTCTTACACAAAACCTACCGTCCATCCACCACCGTCTGTTGTCATGTCACAATAAACAGATTTTACTTGATGAGACAACCATAGTTGTACTGCGTATACACCATCTTTAGCAAAGGGATATTTGCGCTTTATCTCTTTGCAATCGGGCTCTGAAATACATCGGTAAATCTTGAGATAATTCAGTGTTTATAGCAATACAATACATTTGGATGTAAATGATCAAAGTCGCTATACAATTTGTGCACTAAGGTTTCTAAGAAGGAATGGAATCCGAAAATCATGTGACAAATATTACTTGAGACAATGTTGTTAAATAGTGCAAATGTACTTATATATTAAGTGGTTATAGCTCGAAAAGCCCTTTACATATGCTACCTTCACAGAAGATAAGTGTATTAAATAAAGTGATTGGTTGTGTTATTTATATGCCTGCTACCTTGGTGGTGTTTTCTTCCTTGACGGCGACAAAAACAAGTAAAATGGTCTGACCATTTCTACCCGTACATCTGCATGCCTTAAGACGATCAGAAAGGATGATTAATACCATATGATAACAAAGTGGACAACAAAAGATCTCAAAAAGGAGTGCCTACGGGACAGGCCATCCGCAATGTGTTTTACGGCCTACATATATAATCATATAAAATTGAAATACTATCGTCATGTGAGAACCTCACAACCAGTATATTATGGACGGAGTTTATTTCACACAAAAATGAATATCTTGCTGTACGGCAATTCATAGCTTTTCAGAAAAAAGCTTTACAACCTATGTATTTACGTCGTAAATTCAACGCTGCGTTAATTCAATGAAACGTGTGTGTTCTAGGTCATAGGTAAACATGTTTCATATTTTACTGATTTAATGCATAGTTACAATTACATTCTCAATAGGTGTCTATTCGTGTTTATTAAGTATATAGTTACATTTTAATTATAAATATTTTAAGTGATACAAAAACCATCAATTACTTTTTTCACCTCTCTGAAGTGCTTAATATAAGGCCTGTTAACAAGTATATAAAAATACCTGGTCTTACCAATTTTTAGAAAAAGTGATTAATATGTTTTTGATGTTTCTTTTAGGTTTCTGAAGAAGGAATGGATTCCAAAAAAAACATGTGAAAATATTACTCGAGACAATGTTGTTAAATAGTGCAAATGTACTTATATGTTAAGTTGCATTACGTCATTTGATATACATACTATAAATTGTATATTTATGTTCGTTTTAGTTCTTTCAAAAATTGTGCATGCATAGATATATCAAGCTTAAATCCAAGCATAGAGTTGAAATGATCTATTGAATACTATAATAGTCAAAAATAATCATTCCGAATGCGGTTACATGGAAATTGACGACAACCCCCTGATTCTAATCAAGCAAAACATGTCCTTTTATTCTTAAACATTATATTATCAAAAACGATAGTGAGTTTTGTTAGGTAACCAAAATAATATACATATACCTAGTTCATAACTAAAAAGCATTAAAAATACGTTCAGCGACTAACTAAAATCCGTAAAAGCACGTTGTGGATGTTTTTAAATTTAAAATGTTAACAGTTTTATTTGAAGTGCTTCTCTCTTTTAATGTATTCAAGTCGTCATCTATTATAAAATATAATGAACATAGTGAAGCTGAATTAAATAAGATGGAGTTCAAATTAAGAATAATATCAACAAGTTACCTTTCTCCGTATCTGCACATCGATAAGTGTTTTTATGGGGAAGACATCGTTGTTGTTCTTCTGAGCAGGGTCGATGGCCGCATGCACCTGCTGTTGCCTGCAATAAAACGTTTGCTCTCTAAGCTACTTGCTGATTATAAGAATAAAACAATGGTGTGTTCACCGAAATTAACATCAAATGACCGCAACAGAATAGAGTTAGCGAGATCAGAAGTAAAATAAAAAAGCGTAAGTCAAAATGTAAAGCCAATACTATGTTGGAACCCTTTCCGCTAACAGTGCGAAGTATATTATCTGTTTATTTGATTAAAGATAAAACAGCGGCGAAACAAAATGCTATAAGTTCCTCTTTAATGTCAACCGAAAGTCGTAAATAAGCCAATTTGTTAATTTCCTTGTAAAAATTACAAGAACAGCTTAGTACGTAAGACAAAAGTACCATTGGCCATTCTGTGATATCAGAAAAGACTGCTCCTTGTTTGTCCTCGAACTCCGTAATATCTACAGAAGTGCTGTCCACATCATTCAATTTACACATATGGTCATGTCCATTATAATCTGTACTTTTACACATTGGCAGAAAGAAACATTTGCGGATACAGTCATGTCGTCCATTAACACGTATTTCATATATTTCATGTCCAACAAGTCGTTTATTTAAATGCTCCTTACTTATTTGAGATAAAGCACGTGTGTTTTTCAACATACAAAATACTGTTAAAGATAAAAGTAAAAATGTTAGAGTCATTTTTAGATAGAATTACTTTAAATTGTAACATTTACACTATAATTGTATTCATCATTATGAAGCTTATAGTCTAAACTCGTTATTATATTGACTGATGTATGAAGTAACATTAGGCTTTAGTGAAACGTATAGCTGCTTACCACGAGCAATTTAATACATTTTAATCAGATTGCTTCATTTGTTATGTAAATGCAAAGTGGTTTAGAAGCTAAAAAGATGATATAAAATGAAGGTTAATAATTAAATGCAAGGTTTGAATAAAAGAATAAGATAGGTAATTATTCACAAATTTTAGAAATATTCGTTGAGCTCAAACTGACTTAATCAGACGGCATATTTTTGCGACAGGGCGTGATGTGATGAAAAGTGAGCATGCACCATGGTTTCAGATAAATGTATTAAATGATGGAAGTCGGTAAAAAATTACCCCCTAAGTTATTACGCACACGTGCGGCAATGCAAGAATACAAGCACCTTGAATATACACTGCATCAATTTAAATTCATTGGGGGAAAACAATCAATATAATCAGGTATGATAAATATTGAAGGGAATTCAATTATCTGTTGCAGACAGTACCAAGTACGAGTGTATTTACGCGTTCAATTATTTTGTTCTGCTTATTTGGTATTCATGAAAATTATCAAGTTCCATGATATATATGCTTCAGAATCTATACTTCCATATACTTTTTCCAAATGTTTATTTTAATGTGAAACACAGAAAGTATATTTTATAACAAAATTACCAAAATAGTTAAGAACATTTTGTTTATAAACTTATCCAAACGTAACAAATTACTAGCGATGCTAAATGAAGATAATTGAATTGCAATAAGCTGAGTATCTTATGTTCAAGAAAACAAGACAATACCTTTGTTCATAACATTAAAAATACCCTTCCTCATAACATTAAAATAATACCCGTGTTCATCACAATAAAACAATGTTCTGAGGGAAATAAATTCGTTTCCATTTTTTACATTGGCAAGTCAGATTTACTCCGCTTGTATATCAATGTTAAGAACAAAAGCTTATCGTAAATAGCTTTATACATGTATATTGACAATTTCCACAGCTTTACAATTAGAATGTCAGCTAAAAAACTGTAGGTTTTAAATTGCCATCAAACAATTAAGGTTTTTGTCATAGCAGTCTTCAGCTTCTTGTATTGGAATGTTTTTAATTACACCTTTCGCTTGTTCTACCATCTCAGTTTCAGACTTACTCTCTCCAATCATTAACGTAGGTTGTGTCGGCTGCCAAAAGTCATCCTTCATCTGGTTAGTCCTCGAGATGCCGTTCTCTGATTACATAACTTGTATTCGGGAGGTTATTGTAAATGTATGTCTTTCAATATGTTTCAAATAATAATAATAATAATGATAATAATAATAATAATAATAATAATAATGATGATGATGATGATAGTTTGTTTTGAATAAAGAGTCTTACCAGATTAGAAAGAGCTCTTAGAAAAGATGGGAATGTTATAAAGTTACTGTAAGGGAAGATAGGAAACAGTATAAAAAAATGCAATATGAAGAATGAATCTAATAAATGAGTAGTACAAAATCTTAATCACTCCTGGTAACGAACTAATTAACTTTCAACTATCAAGACTAAATGTGATGGAATCAGTACGTTGCCCAAAAGGGCAGAACAACACAACAACAAGGTTTTAAGTATTTGAAAATTTTAAATATTCGGTTCGTTAAGCATACACGCTCAGTCATACATGATGCAATCTTAGCAACATAGATAATTCATAGTTTAGCCCATTAGGGATTTTATACAAACGATCCGCAAGTTCGTTTATTATCAGAAATGGTCTATAAACATGAAGATAATTAGTAAATCGAGTCATGTGAATCTAGTCAATGATAATGAGGTAAACATTAAATATTGGAATATTTAAAATTTGATGATTATCGTCACTAATAAACACAATTTCAGTAGTTAGGAACGTAATAGTTAGGAACGTAAATGAATAAAACAAATGTCGTTTTAGAAGTTAGAACTTATGCATAATGTTAGTTTTATATTAACATGAATTTTTCATTAAAATCAAACTTGAAAAAAATGTACTAAGATTTTAAGAAAGGTAAATAGAAGAATCAACTAGTATTTTACATGTTTGTGCCATTAATGACTGATTTTGCAGTATTTATCACTATATTCTATTACATGTACCTGACTTACGGAGTACGGGCTATTTTTGTACATTTTGACTTATTTTGTAATTAACGTGAATTAAAAATGCCATTTGCAATGCGTAAATTACTTTCTTTGTTCACTTCACAGTATTTTACTTTAAATTAAAATAGTTCATGTTCAAAATGTTCATGAAAATAAGTATGAATCTGGAAGCATCTTGCTTTAATTGTCTTCCCGTGCCTATATTGTGAAACTTTATTTACCTTTCCACAAATAAGAACAAAAGGATGTTTGATTTCTTAAGTACGCATATTTTGTAAAAACACCCTCGTCGATTAATCATAAAACATTTTTCATTCGATTATTTCTTTCGGTAGAATGACGATCAAAAAGTGGTCAGGATATATTATTTTGTGTTGTTGCATGGGTAAATTTACTGTTATATGGCTGTTTTAATTTTGAGAAAAGTCTAATATTTAGATATTTCCTATCGTTTGGCGCTATCAAGTAATTGCACAATTTTAGTTTTTTCCTGTACATTTACATTTTGTAAATCTAATACAATGTATATATGTTTCAATTTAATTTGACGTTGGTTTTGAAAGATACGGATTTTTCAAATCATGCTTGTTCCATTTTAGATGCAGGATAAAAAGTTATTCGTTTCAAAAATTAATATAAAACATAAATATTGCGTGTGGCGGGTTATTAGTCATGAAAATATTAATATGTAAAATATAAAAGATATGTGCATATACTGTGTATAATCAAAATGGCATGCATTCACTTCCCACCTGCTTATTTATTGCCAGATATGATGGCAATGTTTCGAATGAATCGTTACAAATTTATTTTCAAAAAATTTGAAAAAAAAATAAAAACAGTCAAAAGCAAAATTTGTTTTTAAAAATTTTTCAAAATAAAAAGAAGGAAAAAATTTATTTTCCAAAAAATGGGGGCCAAATTTTAAATTTTTAAAAATTAAAAAACGTCAGATAAATATAACTTTCATTTAAACCCAAAAATGACGTTAAAAAATTACTTCTACACAAATGTAGTTCAAACATAATTTTTCAATTCCCCTTTAAATGAAAAAAAAATTTAGTTTAAAAATTCCAAAAACTTGGGGGATATAAAAAAAAAAAATTGTTTATTTTTTTTTATTCTTAAAAAAACTGGTTTTAGAAAAGGGCAAAAAATTAAAAAAAAAAGGACCTATTATTAGGGAAAAAAACCCCATCAAATTTGGACAACAATTAAGAAAAAAAAATACAAAGGAAATTTTGATTTACCGCTAAAAATTCTTTTAAAACCTTAAAAAAATTTTATTAAAACACCCCAAAGTGGGAAAAGGATTGGTCAGGGGGACAATTTAAACCATTGAATTTTCCCAATAAAACAAAAATTCCGGGGAAAGGGTTTTTTAAAATGGGTGGCTCCCCCATAAAAAGGGGGTAAAACCAAGTTTCTTCGTTAAAACCAATCTAAAAATTTTCTTTTAAAATTTTAATACCCCCCCAATTTAAAGTAAAAGTTTAAAGAAAAATTTTAAAAATTTTCTGCTCATTTTTTTGGTTTTAATTTTTTGGATTTTAAATTTAAAATTTTGACCGGAATTTTTTTTTTCCTTTTAAATATGGTTTTAACTATAAAAGATTTTTTAATACATAAAAACCCTTTTTAAATGAAAATTTTTAAACCCCGGACCAAATCTAATAACCACGTGGTGATGACCAGCTGTTGTTCTCGTCAAGGACAGTAGTCTAAAAATATACGATGTTTCAACACGTGATCTATACTTAAAATCTAGAGCTAAAATCTTGTTCCAGTACAATGCTAGGCGCACGTGTATCTGTCAGTACTAAATATAAAATATGGAACAATCGATTTGTAGAGTTTAGTTACACACTTTGTTGCCAAAGAAAAATATGTTAGAAAATATAAAATAAACAAAAGATTCAACTTGTTGACGGGGAACTTATAATGAGTACCCAAAAGCAAATTCCAAAACAAATAAAAAAAAATAGAAATTTGGTCAGATGCATTCGTGGTATACATGAGTATTTTTATTATGAAACATCCAGAATAAGCCAAAAACCTATTACAATATTTTGCAAACATTTGTTTAGTGGCATCAAGAAATGTCGGATGGTTTGAGTATGATAGGTAATTCAGGCTTAAAAAATTAATCGATTTGGGTATAAAGTGGCAAAATATTGACTCAGAATTGTAGATGATATATATGCAGCCTACTCAGTCCTTGAAGCAGCCGGCACTTCTGAATATCCAAAAAATCTTATGACTTTAATAACAAAGGCCTTTGTACAAATAGATCATGTACTTACAAAACACGTTTGCATCAAATGCTTTGGTAACCACCCTTCAATACACTGTTATGCAAATAAACAAACAGCGCAATTCACACCGCGTTATGTATTAAGATTGCCAGCTCAAAGAGTGCCTATGGGACCTGGGGTTTTCACCAATTAATATCTAGGTTCTCGCTGATAAACTCTTTCAATGCCCAAATAAGGATAATGCCAATTACATTTTACAAGGATTCAGCACTGGTTTTAAACTCGAATATACGGGACCAAGAATCCCTATTTTTTTTTCCAAAAATCTCAAATCGGCAATTGATCAAAAATGCTTATTAAGTAAAAAGCTTCACGACGAATTTATACTTAGGCGAAAAAAGGCCAATTACTAATCTGAGAATAAATCCCGTAGGTCTCATACCAAAACAAAACGGAACTTTCAGCTTTCATACCCACCAGGCAAAGTATAAATGAATTTATCGATCCTGAATTTTGCCATGTTCAATATTCACAATTCGAAAATGCAATAAGAATAGTTCAAGAAATAGGGGGTTCTGCTTTTATGGCAAAAGCTGACATTTCTTCTGCATTTAATTTAT